TTGTGATTGTGGTGATATTCAACTCTTCTGCTTTCTTAAGACCTTGAGTTTCGCTTATGGATAATATGTATATGAGTTTCCTTTCATATAGGCAATTGTAATCTATCCTTTCTGTTATTAAAAGCAGCTGCCTTTCTTTGGTCTCTGCGTTTGTGCAGCATACTATCTCTTCTTCTAGTCTTTCGTGTGCGTTGTAACTTTCTTCTACTTGGTTTGGCATTGGTTGAGTTGATTTTTCTTCTTTTTCGAAAACATTATCGCAGGACGCACTGTTATTCAGTTTACGAATTTCATCAGAAGTTGTTTCTGTGTTTGTTTCTGATGGTGCCGGTAATGTGTGAGTTGTTGTCGGCAATACTGTTGTTAGTCGCTTTACAGTTTCTTCGCCCAATGAATCCCCTTGCATTACGTTGTAGTGTAACACGGCGTCTTGAACTTCTCGTCGAAATCTTTCCACATGTTGGCTGATCTTTGACTGACCCAATGCAGACAAGCGCCCTGGTTGGAGGCCAGTATGCATAGGCTTTAACGTATCGTTACTGAAAATGAACTGACTTTTCGCCTTCGTCGAGGATTGATCCTCTGAATTTCCAGTATTGCCTTGTTGTCGGTAGAGATGAGATTCTGGCCTTGTTGTTTTGGAATATCCATAAACCCCTCCATCATCATTATCTTCCTCCTCGGAGACCATAACACGCAATGTGGTCGCCTCCATGCAAAGACGTGCAGTTTTCGGTGATAAGAGTTCAAAACTTCCTGAAATCTTGTTGAGGAATAGTGTGTATAGGACACAAAACGGAATTATGGAATTCTTCGTCCTTGCATCTAGATCCTTTCCAATCATATCCATTGTCTGGGCATACAGCGGCTCCAAAACTACGGCCCTACCCCCTCGGCTCGTGGGGGGTGTGGGCACTCTAATCGCTGAATAGCCCACTGGGAGCGAAGACCCTGCGGGGTTCAATCTGCCCCTCCATAACCCCCCATGTATATCATGATTCATAGATGTGAAAGGCTTACTCAAGGCACTGTTGGTTGCTACAACGGTTCCCCAAGTTTGATGAACATAATTTACATGCCAAGTGCGATCAGCACGGGGGCCTCCAGGCGTATACCGCGCCATATCCTTCGTGGAGGGGCACGAAGGGGTGAGCAGGGAGGTTATCCCACGCATTCCTTTGCCTACAGACCACTGTGAATCACCAGTTCCGCTAAGACGAGACCTACCAACAGAAGACAATATAGTTTGGGGGAAGGTGGATCCTCTTAAATCCCGCTCCTCTTCCAATGTGTTACCTTTCAGCAAGTTGGGCAAAAAAGAGGACGCTGCACCACGAGACGCCTCAGGCGCCATGTTCACTGGGCGAAGGTGTGTATGGGCTATATTACTTTTGCCCTCAAGATTTCCCATAACACTTGGGACGGGTGGGTCGGGGCTACTATGAAATCCATAACTATTAATCACACAGCTGGTATTCCATTCCCGAGGGGCCTCCGCCCTCTTCCCGGGATTGCTAGAAGTTATCCTGAAAGCCTTCTCATTGATATGTAGAGGAATCGCCAATCCGTTTGAACGTGCGGTGGGGGGTGTCACGGCAAAGGTAGACCTATCGGATTGATCTGTCTTCGAATGTCGCTGGTGTGCACAGTTGACTGGGGTACCCTTATCATCTTTATACGTTCGAAACGCAGAATGTATAGGGATGGTAGCACGATCCATCGATTTGAGCTTACTTTGCTGATTGAGGTATAAATAGTCTTCAATGGATTTTGGATGTCAAGAGGGTAAAGAGAATTCTGTAGAAAAAGTCAAGCCTTATGTATATCCCTTTACAGCAATAACCATAGGTATAAATGAAACAATTCAAATGTTCATATATGTACAGAAAAATAAAGTCGTGTTATTGAACTTTTACTACCAATACTTTCCGCCCCTTGTATGAATAATCTGAATACACACCTTCTCTACACTATTCCAGAGGTGGAGGAAAGGAAAAGGATAATAAACGGTACTAATGAACACACAAACATCGAATGCGACCTTTTAAAAAATGCATCTGTTACATATTTTAATATCAGCTAAACTAATCGTAAAGAAATGTAGTATAGGTCACGAAGCCCAGACATTATCCGCCCCAGTAACTTGACACACCATTCATCATTTTGTTGCGAAAAAAAATAAAATCTAAAAATGCACTTGTACATGTATTAAATATCTGTTTATTTGTACATATTAAACATCTGTGTTTTTGATACATTCACGTCTCCCATATAGACATACTTGCGTGTGTCTATATTCATATTTGTGATGAGAACAATAATAAGATAAATCGTCTCCTGCAAACACTAGCGTTCTTTACACATGCACATACATGTATATATATATATATATGAGAGAACCCTCATCCCCTTTAAACACTAATGACCATCCTAATGCAGCATCTCTAGAATGCCTTTACGATATCCGTGAATAATTAATCTCTGTGATAAGTTTTTATAAACATTTTATTATTAGCATGCAATATAAAGAATCCTGACAGTGAAATTAAACGATTAAGAACAAAAAAATAAAGACTAAGGGAAATACGAGATAAAACCTAACTGATTTTGAATTTTCGCTCCAAGGTTGAGCCAACTTTCCAGAAATACCTAGAAACCCACTGTGATCGTATATGCAATCTCACACCTTTTTTGCAATGAGCATCCTACTTCTTCGCCGTCCGGCTTCCATCTCATTTCCGGATGGCCAGACGGCGAACTCACCTCAAACGAATCCAGCTCTGTCTTAGTGAAATTAAATTAATTGGAAAGACTCATACTGCGAAGGATAACCCGACTACTATACGGCAAGCTGACCCACTACCCTACGTTTCAAACAATCCTTCTTGAAGTTAGAGTAAAAATTGCAGAGAGACTTGAAGGAATGCTTGAGGAGCTTAACACACAGTTCAGCGTACGACAATGTGACCGGATGACGAACATAAAAGTCCACCTTTAGGCTCCCGTTATAGAAATGCACATCAAATATACAACCAGGTGGCAGCGATAAGGCATCACAAATCTCATTCTTAAATAATCTATCGACCTCAGAGTGCTTGTCCAGTAGGGCATACCTCCAATATCGACCCGGAAAGCCTAGCTTCAGAAAGGAAACTGACGTTGATGAATTTTCGGCACGAGAACCCGTTCTGGAGAAACCATCCACTTGTGATTGTGAAGGCAAGGTTGATGCATGCGAAAAAGACATGCTGAGATCAAGAGTATTTTTTTGACCAGAAAATGGAAACTTTTCACTTATTTGATTTGCTTGAACTGATACGTCCACGTTCGACTGCTCGACTGGTGCAGGAACCTCATCCGACTGCTCGACTGGTGCAGGAACCTCATCCGACTGCTCGACTGGTGCGGGCACCTCATCCGACTGCTCGACTGGTGCGGGCACCTCATCCGACTGCTCGACTGGTGCAGGAACCTCATCCGACTGCTCGACTGGTGCAGGAACCTCATCCGACTGCTCGACTGGTGCAGGAACCTCATCCGACTGCTCGACTGGTGCAGGAACCTCATCCGGCCGTCTTATGAATTTTATGGGGTCTGTGTCTAGTTGTAGAATTGAGGCCCAATCACAATTAAGAACTACGGCACCTGCTAGATCTTCACCACATGGAGTAACGTTCGTGTCGACTTTATCACGAAATTTATCTCGATTGTAGCAAAGTTTTTTAAGTAGTGGGAAATCATACCGAAGGATCCTCTCCTTAAGGAGTGTGTCCCGCACGATGGACTCCAGAAATGGCACGCTTTTATCCCTGGGGGGCTCATATCGTAGCTCAATGAAAAGGCCTGTGAGACTCGTCTGCAGTTGTGCTGACCGCACAAAGTCCGAAGACGAAGGTCCCAAGCAGTTTTGGATGTCTTTTTGTAGGCAATCCATGACGACTCTCGGGACCTCCGTCCGAAGTGCTTTCCACTCGCTCCCCTTCAGATGAATAGGAATTATCGACATCTGAGTGCGCAGCCTTCTTGATGGCGATGGTTTGGAGGGAGGAATAGGGATTTTCTTTGGTTGATGTTGTGGCTCAGATACTCCCAATGGTTGATGAGGTGTATTTTCAGAATTTATTGCAGAATAATGTGATGGCGGCGTCTGTTCTTGGGCTGGAGATATGGCACACGGTGAGCCACACTCAGTATCACCCTTGCCTTCCTTGAATGTTTTTCCTACAATAAACGTGCTACCAACTACTGCTCCCTCCCCCGTGAGATACCCATTCGATGCCACGCTACTGTCTACATATCTTTCCCCCGTGGTCACCACCCCAGACGCCGAGTTGGGTTTGCACGTCTCGGATGACCTTCTTGGTGCGCCTGATCCAGCCAACTTCTTATCAGAAACACAGAATTTGCTATCATTCTCATTTACAGCACTTCCCCCCACAACAAAACTCTCATCCGGTATTCCATTGCGGCCCCCTATTTGAAAATCTACCCTTTTAAGATCAGGAACGTAGTCCTGCAGCTTCCAACACGACTGCCCGTGGGTTGACGACCGTTCAGTAGGAACCTCTCGCGAAGCAGCAGACGGAGTGGAATGAGATGTCTGAAGTGAATGGTGTAGTACAGGCACGTCCCCATTGCTTCTCACAACGTCAGATTCCATCACTAGGGCATTGCCCTGAAGTTCTTCTTTTCTAGTCAACAAAGAAATGATGTTAGAGCGGCGCCTGTCATACACACACTCACTACCCCTTCCCAACCCCTTGTCGGGCCGTTGTTGAGTGCTCTCAGAAGGATGACACTCATGCTGGAGAGGACTAGAGGCTGAGATCTGACGCAGTGAAGCAGAGGAGCGACTCAAACCCCGTGCGGCGACCCGAAAATCCTGGCCAATTAGCGAGACTGTTTGTGGCGTAAGCAGCACGTACTGATTCAAACCCTTGTCATAGTAGTACACCGCCTCGGGAGCCCACACAGGAAAGGTATCCCACACCAAATCTTTTAAAAAATTGCAGAGGGAATGATAAAGGTCATGGCTGGATGAATAGCTAGCGAACCGCGGCCTAGGCGTAAGACCAAAGTTTGCTTCAGTGCTGCGGTTAGGATGGTTTCGGGTAAACAATGTATTCTTTTTGGAAAGGGTCTGAAACATGTCTGGTGGTGTGCATTCGATTGTCCGCACTACAAACACGTCACCCAAGTTAGTGAAGACGGTCTCAAAGTTATCACTGTTGTCGCCAGTACGATGCCTGATCCTGGTTATTGAATCCCAAAAAGGGGCTACACTCGCCACGACCTGCACGCTCCACTTACACAGTCCGCTGCCATCGGTGAGGCTTTCCCGAACCTCGCCATGGAGATCAGGGTAGTCCAAACACATGGACAACGACCTCACGGAAGCCCGTGAGTGCCACATAGAGGGAATGGTGGGGTCGGAAGAAGGCGTCGCTACTGAGGGGGGACGGGCACCCCTCAAATCACTTACCTCCTCAACCCCGTTCCTGTCCAAACCTCTGCCTCCTACGGCAGACGACATGGATCTGGTAGCTGCCGTTTGAGTCTTTGAGGTGGCCGATCGCACTGCAGGCCGAACATACGATGAGGAGGAAGAGGACGGCGACGACAACGTCCTCGTCGTGGTCCAATCCCCCGGGTCGCGATGTCGAGTTTCATCTTCATTGGCCCCCACGACGCCTGAGGCTGAACCCCCAGATGGCAGGCCACGGTATCGAAAACCGGATAAAAACCGCCCCTTACACCCCACGTGAGGCGCGTTCGCGTCGGAAGAGCTGAGGCTCAGGGCGTGAGGCCCGGACCTCGGCCCGCCAGGAAGCCCTCCCTCCGGTTTGGTTCCTACGGAGGAGTCCATGAGGCCACGGCCGCGTTCAGGCTCATTGTGCGCTCTTTGAGGGTGGTGGACCACTCGAGGGGGGTGGGGGCCATCGCTGTCGTTGGTATTACTGCCGAGTCCACGCTCATCGGAGCTTCCATGACAGTGGGGCTCCTCCTTGCTAGGACGCCAGGACGCACCTGGGGTCGTCTTCGGAGCAGTGTTTAAGCAAGTGTTGGAATTGGCCATCCAGTTCATCCTCAACGACTGAAGACACGCCAGGACCCTCCAGTGATTTCCCACACTACCCCCATCCCTCTTTGGTTCCCGGCTTTGGTTGGCACCTTCAGAAGCAAGCGACTGGCGCCCCTTCACATCGCTATGCGAATTGACCCCCTCCCCACTGCGGCGAGAAACACCAGACCATAGAGAGGCACTCTGAGGCCTAACAGCACGTCTTCCACCGCTACAAGTTCCCGAAATTACTGAAGAGAGAACTCCCTTCGAATCGATCGTGGTGCGGCGAATGCCCTGGTTGAGATAATATGCATTGGCGGCGTCAGTGTTGAAAAACATACGAGACTGATAAATTCAGTCAGCTAGTCTCTTTTGTTGTTGACTTTGCTGAATGCAAGGAGCTTATACCTGATGAAATCGTCTTATGCTTTCAGATTTGTGTACCTTATATGGACGTATGAATCACCAAATATTATGTGCAAATAAAAATATGTGTAGCAATCACCAAACGTTTGTTGTAGTATGGCTTCTTCCGATAGTGAATCTTTATTCTTTGTATTAGGCGCAAAGAAGAGGATACGGTAGCTATTGTTTTGACAAGTTCTTATTTTAAAAGAAAGAAACTCTTTTCATCATCAGGCCCACGATTCGTTTAGCAACGAACTATAAAAGACCTATGATAGTGGACTCATTGTAACATGTTTAAATAACAAGGCTAGGACTAATCCTCGAAAAGGATCTAGCTTTATTGAATGTCTAAAAACATGTTATAATGAAGTTTTACTCTTTATTTTGAATACACTTTTTACGATTCAAAGGTGTTTAATAACCCAATTAAGACACCCGCTATTGATATTTATCAAGATTCATGGGCGCGCAGAGAGGGGGAAATGCACACAAATGAGACAATAATAGTAATACTAATGAACTGGGCAACAAATGGAAGCCTTGGACAATTTTTTTATCCTATTTGGTGCCATACTCAGTGCTCCCCCCCCCACGAATTCTATGCAAGATCACACAAGGTACTTATTGAGAGACATTCGAAGGTTGGGCGGCTTGGCGCTCGGCATTTATGCGTCTTTTCCGAAGAAACCGCATATTTTTCTGCCAAATCGCGCTGACCAGCGGAACGTACCGCTGGAAGGCCTCACGGGCGATTGCGAACCCTGCATCACTTTCGCCGAGCCAAAAGCGCTGCTTCGCCTCTAAGCGTAGCGCGCGATCCTCTGGCAGGGACTCGTTGAGATCAAACTCATTCCTTGTCATCCCGCCGCGCGCAGGGACGTCCATCAGGAGATTCTCCATGGGATACAGCGTCGAGGAGGACGGATCCAGGGCAGCCATCAGTCGCTCAATCGCCGCCGCCCTCCCGTCCAGCCGCACCTTAGTCAAGAGAACATAGACGGGCAATTTGCTAAGGTGGATCGTCTCGAGGACTTTTAAGTTGTCTGGTGGCGAGCTTAATAAGAAGCGGGAGGCCCCGGTTTGCAAAGGGCCCACCGGGCTTAAGAGAATTTGCTCGAGGACGTAAAGAAGAATGAAGAAGCTCGCGCACTGCGGCGCCCCATAAACCAACATGATCCCACCACTCCCATCTCGCTCCACATAATCCAGCGCAAGACGAAGCTGAGGCGTGAATAGCGTTAGCCACGGCAGAATCGCCTCCGGAGGTGGCGTTGCCACGCTCGTCGAGGTGCTCCCCGCCACGTGGGATGCGGCATCGACCACCTTTTCATTCACGACAGGATTCTGTGCGGAATTCCCGTCCTCCCGACGCCGCTTTCGCGCGTGTATAGACGCCCCTTCCTCCCCGTCGAGGTCGCCCGCGACACCAGGAGGTTCGAACTCCGGGAAACCCACCCGATCGGCCTTGGGAGCGGGGGTTGATGAGGACCCCCCGGCGCGTTGCCCGTGATCCTGCACCGCGCCGCCATTCACGAAGGTGAACTTCCTCGTCGTGGCGAACCCCTCTCCTGCGTGAGGCTCCCCCCCTGCCGTCAACCACCGCCGCCAAGTCGTCGGCGGCTGGCAGACGTCGCCCGCGAGGAGGGCGTAGCGCGCGGCGTGGCGCCCTTCGAGCAGCTCTGAATCGATGTCGATCCCACTCGCGGTGGGCGGCAGGGTGAGCCCGACCCCTTCCCATTCGAGGTCCTCGAGAAGGAACCTCGACACCCCTCCGGGGGCGCAGCCGAGATCGAGAAAGGTGAGCGGCCTCTCGCACGCTTGGGCGTCGGGGCGGCAGGGAGTAAAAAACTGAGGTGCCGCTGCCCCTAAAACACTTTGGCAGTGCTTTCGATAGCGATCCGCTAAACGGGCGATATCTACGGTGGCAAATGAAGAAACGCCAGCGGTTGAGAGCGGCTTCTCCACCGGGGGAGCCGTTTCTTTCCCTGATTCGATGTGAGCGCCGTTCGTATCGCGCTGAGTGGGTCCCTCCTTACGGTGTGAGGCGTACCACATGTCGAGCTCACTGGAATTCCACCCCAACAAGCGCTCCGCCTCGAGGTTGCGGTATACCAAACAGTTGCGTGATAGAAAAGACTCCCACCGCGTGGCCCTAAAGCGGAATTCTTTCGTGGAATCGGCTGCACTCAGCACCGGTTCATTCCTTTGACTCCGCATCGTTGTAGACAGTATACTTTCCTAATTTTTACTTAGTGTGACTGTATTGTAGAGCTGTTTAGCTTGGTGGAATTTCTGCTCTAAGAATAAGTCAGTTCCCGTATAAACCCTCTCGTAGGACGCTCGATGAAAATAATGAAGGAAACAAGAAGGGGTGCCACATATTTGATGCGAAAAAAAAACAGCCACTTCAACCTACACTATCGAAACTACTGCAGCATTGAACCTATGATCTGGAAGCTCAAACTACTCAGCGACCGGTATTCACCTCTGAGTGGTCATGTTAGCACTCCCCTCTTTCCCTCCGGATATGGGTGCATGCACGCTTAACTTTTTAACCGTTATTTAATATACCATTACATATTTCTCGCCTTTTATTCCCCCAGAAGCAGAAGAGTCGTGCGTCAACGCGTGCGGACCCTTCAGCGATGGCGCTCCAAAAACAAGCGAGTGCCGGAACTGCCGACTAACCGCCCCGACAACACAGACCGCGCGTGGAGCGCACTGCCCTCATCGGCGAACGTCGCCCACCAAACACTCCTTGGCGAGTCCGCAGCAGAAAAAGACTCCCCCTCCGCACCCGTCATAGGGCCACCCTCCTCGCCCTCCTCGTCCTCGACGTGCTCACCTTTCAAGCCGCGACCGCGTGGCTTTCGCGCGTCCGTCTGGGAAACCTTCTCCGCGCTACCCCGTACACCCTCCAGCCGCTTTGGGGGCTCCACGAAATCCAAGAACCCCTTCATGTTGGATAGCGCGCGCTCCGCCACCGCCCGCGGGGCGGGGGGTACGAGGATGCACTCCACAACGCACGCTTCGCTTTTGGTTCGCGTCTGCGAAAGGGGCACGTACTGAACCTTCCAACGCCGCCCGCAAACCTTCGCGTTCTGAAGGCGTTTGTGGAGCATCTGCGCGGTAGCCTTATCCGGCACCTCCACTGTCAGCGTGGCGTTATCCGCCTCCTCGAGGATTGTTGCATCGGAGATCTTTTGCTGCTCCGCAGCGGGGAAAAAGCGTCGGATAATACGGGTGTAGATACTTGCCATATCCGTGGGGAGGTCAGTAAACAAGACAGAGCCGTGGGTAATAATAGCAGACGTCTTCGGACCGCTTGACGCAAGAGGAGTCGAACTGCTGGACACAGCAGAGCTCTTCCAAGGGGTCTTTTTCACCTTCGGGTTTCCCATAGCTTTCCTCTAAATCGGTTATGTTTGACACTTTCTCCCTTCTTAAGGTTCAGATATAGATGTGTGGAAACCTATCGTGATGGTTGTAGAGGAAGGAGAGAAGAAAAGATAGGAAAAGGCGCAACCAGTAGTTGGATATCGTTTGATCTTTGAGAGTGTAGGAGAGCTTCTTCAGTTCACGCCACTAATCAACTGAACAAATTACAGGCCATTACCCCAAGCGCCCTCACCCCCAAAGGGCTGACTAGTATTTTGTATAACAATCACGGGAATAAAGAATGTGATAAAAGGCAAAGTGAATCCACTCAGCGATGGGATATAGTAAATCGCAAAAAAAATATCACAATTCTTTAGCAACACTTCTTGTGAAAGTTTAAAAAAAAAAAGAACCTTGAACCCCGTCTTCATCACTGAGTTTTTCTCCCAAAATTGGAATCTTCTCCGAAGAGAAGGGCATCCGCGTGAGGGGCCCCATTCGGAATGCGCTTGGTTCTGCTCCAGGCGTCGTTTCTCCGTAGCCGCGTGTGTTCTCCCGCCAAAGGCAGCACGCTTGCGGCCCACCACTTCAACACCTCATGACGATGAAAGGCGCTTGGGCAGGGATAGTCTGCGGTGGCAGAAGGTGATACTTTATGAACGGTGGGATTACCATCGACAGCAGGCAAGGGGGATGGTGAAGTGAGAGGAGCGCAGTGCTCATGGTCCTCCTCGCTGCCTTTTGCTTGAAGAATGGTGAACGGGGGATCCGTGGCCTTTCTGGACACCTCTTCCGACCTCAAAATACCGCGTAAAATTTTCTCCTCTTCCGGAAGAAACAGCACACGACGCAACTCCGGCGGGAACAAAACCATTTCATTCAGCCCCGGGCACTGACCAAGATTCTGCAGCAGAGAGGTTAATAGAAGGCTCGCCGCGTTCGGGAATTCGCGGTCGAGGCTGATCAATGACTGCAAGAGGTTTGATAACATGTCCGCGTAGCGGTGGGCAGAGGTGTGATCCTTTTCTTCCCCAAAGTCGCTATCGTCGTGACCCTCCTCCAGAGCCCCGTTTGGGGGATTCAGAATGCGCCTGAAGCGCTCGGCGAGGGCCGCCTCCGCAGCGCAGCGGTCCATGGCAACCGTGAAGAGGCCCGCGAGGGAGGGGGAGCAGCGCGGCGGTGGATCGGCCTTGAGAAGAGTGGAGCCGCCGGAGAACGAATCTGAGGGCGACTTCCAGGTCGCTCCCACGTCTAACATTTGGGCCTCGCTAAGGGATGGCGCTAGCGGCTTAAGGGTATGACTGCTTCCATGGAAGCTCTGTGAATGTTGACTATACCCTGCCTTCGAGTAGTGATCTCGTCGAGGGGTGAGGATGGTGCATTGCGAGGCTTCCATGGTGTGCCCCTCGGACCCTGACGTGGGTTGCCTGCTTTGCACAGCGTCCACGTTGGTCGTTTTTCGCTTAATCATCAGGGATCCCTTCCGTGCATTAGTCGGGACGCGACACGTGGGGTCTGTCCTCCTCGGACCTCCGCTAAGCCCGTGTTCGTACTCGACGCCGCTGTAATGTGTGGGGTTTATGATGTCATCAGGGCGCTGAGGAGTGGTTTGCTGCTCAGCATTCCTTGTAGAAGGGGGAGATACGCTAACGTCAAGGATATGTGGGGCTAAGACTGCGCCGCCACGAGTCGTCGCTTTCGTAGGGGAAAACCGCTCATGGTTAGAGAACAACGCATTCGTCTCACCGTCACCACCGTCTCTGGGACCACAAGTAACCGCAGTAGCGGCATCTCTGTTGGGAGTCTGAGTAAAGGGAAGTTGGGACGAAATCCAACTTGCTGTTGGTTGACTCTCCACACAGGGAGTGGTAGAAAAAGATTCCTGCCCATCTGTGTGGTGCTCATAAATCCGGTCTTTAGTGGTTAAACGCTTTTGAGACCCATCCACGACCAAGGACCTACCCCGGACGCGATTACTCAACACACCTACAGATTTTGTTTCCCCGAGTTTAGCAGGACTAAAAATGAGGGAAGGGGGTTGAGTAGCGGAGCCTTTGCCGCGGATGGACAAGAGACCCCTCTCCACCGATGCTTCACCGTATTCCGACGTAAGAGGAAATAAGGGCCCCTCAATGGATACCCCTGTGGGGCCGGTGTTATGGTCGTTGCCCAGGATCCCTCCCTCCCCGCGACGCGGGCGGGAGTGTGGGAACTCCAAGTCCCTCCCACCAGCCGCGACGAGCGCGCTCGTCGCGCTCCGGAAGGGCAGCGACACCGACGGGAATCGCTGGACACACTTATGGAATACATTAGACAGGCTCCGGTCCGTCTCGTAGCAGAGCGCGGTGCGCCCATGACGAGTGCCCGGCGAGGGGTTCCCACCCCCTTCATGGGGGCTGCCCCCGACCGCGCCGTCGCGGTCTCCCGTTGTCTCCCGGTGGGCATGCCAGGCCGAGGGGGTCGCACCCCGTTTCCCACGCCGGCCGTTCGAAGGGGCCGTGGGAAGAGGCGCTTCCGGGGCCCACACCCCAGGCCGTTCCACGTTGAGCCGTTCCGTCTCGGGCCCCCCCCCGGTCCCGGAACGGCGGCGGTCCATCGGCGAGGCCACGTGGGAGGCCCACACGCGACGGTCCCGGTCCTCCCACCTCAGCTGTGCGGAAAACCACGGGTCGGTGAGGAGCTCCGCCGCGGTCGGGCGCTGCGCGGGGTCGACTGCGAGACACCGCCGCACAAAGAAGTTGAAGTGGAACGACCAGTGGGGCTGGCGGAGAGAAGGAAGCGGGACGTGCTGGTTCACCAACCACGACGGGAAGCCCCCTTCGGCCATCTCGATCGCCAGCATCCCGAGCTGCCAGATGTCACCCGCGGGGTCGAGGTTGGTGCGCGGGTGGCGTGTGCTCGGGGTTTGGCGAAAGGGCGGCCGACAAGGCGCGTCCGCATCCAAGCCGTGATCGGAGGGGCCCCCGGGAGACATCTCTGAGTACGACGCCTCCGGCACCACACACTCCGGTGGTGGAACCAGGTCTGCCAATTCAATTCTGAAGAGCTCGAGGTCTAGATTTTCCTGCGCGCAAGAGAGCAATCGATGTAGCACCTGCTGCCGACAAGGATGCGGCCTTACCATGTCAGTATCATCGTCCGCTTTTGTCGATGGGGTCGGTTGTTCTACTGAAGGCGAATTCCGCGCCACAGCCCCACGCCTCTCAATACTATTATCGCTTTGCACAAGCCCTACAGGTCTACTTTGAGGAGCCTTCGCCTCGGAGGTATCCGCAGGAATGGTAAGAGTATTCTCCGCGATCGCGCTCAGGAGGACGTACTGAAGACGGTTGTAGACATCGTCTGAGATAATTACTTCTTTAGTAAATCTCCACAAATCACCTAGGGGATCATCCGCTGCCGCTGTGATACTAGAGGTCAAATCGTTAGGCGTCGACGACACCGGTAACGGCATTCCAGATGTAGAAGTAGCAGACATGGTAGCCGCGATGACTTGGGAAGACCACACCGAGCTTTTGTCGTGTTGAAGTGCGTCGGAAGTAGAGAATTTACGCGGATACCGCCCGGTATCCCCCAAATCTCTCCTCGATGCCACGGTGCAGTGTGGAAGTTCACGTCCGTCAGGTGATCCTTGGGCACCTTTTGAAAGGGATTTCACCACGCCGTCTGGCAGAAGCAGTACGGGATAATCGTATGACAATCGCGGAGCTGTAGCCTCTCCGTTATCTTTTTCTACCGACGCTTGTACGGCCGTTGACGTTGGCTCAATGCTCTGGGATTTTTTTCTAACACCCAATAACTCCCCTTTATGGGCATTTACCTGCATGTTCCAGCCGTGTGCTGGCAGCTCTGCGGCAAAGAGCCAGCCCGCACCACCACCCATGGTGCACAACCGTGAATCCAAAGCTGATATCACCGTATCCGCAGACCCAACCTCGGGGCGATCCAGCAAACCGATCAAGAGATTACCCCCCTCCACAGGCTGGGACGGCTCCACTGATGTGATTGCACCAGCCTGGTGTGTACGCTGCCTCTCGCTCTCCGCTGCACGGCTTCTAGATGATCTTTTGTACACCCCCTCAACACCTGACGCCACTTTAGGCCGATTATCTCCACTCGCATCAGTCTGATCTGCATGGATTGGCATCCCCATCTCAGCGGTTGCGTTCTCATCGCCTAAAAAGTGCTGAACCGCCTCGCCTACAAATGGAAGTGGAAAGACATTGGTCAGTTTAACACTTCCATGGCCGCGCCCCAAGGTCCGATGCAGCACCTCCAGCCGTCGCAGTACCGCCCACACGGCGCGGCGAATCACGCTTTCCTGCGTGACCGGATCCACCTCACAGTGCCACCGCTGCCTGTACGATGCACGGTAGCCCTCCCACACATCACGGAGATTCCCCTGCGAGATGTAAGGTAACGCAAGGTTCAAAACCAGCACGGGAGTCTCGGATGCGTACGACGACAATGGCACAGCCTTGTCTAGCCGCCTGGTCGAGGCCGTGGAGCCCCATTTTTGGTCCACCTCAGCGGCTGGGGTAACCCCTAGGGAAGTGGTAAGGTTGGTGGAGGCCGTTGGGCTGGAATGGCGTGGCGCTGGATGGGATGATCGGGATGGAGCTATGGGAGTGGTGCCCCCGTTCACGGGACAATGGTCAACCCCTGCCGCATGGAGTGATCGCTGTGTGGGGCCTACTGGGTGGATCGAAGACGTGGAAGGAAAAGGCGCGCAGGTGGCCTTCTTCTCGAATGTCGCGGAGGTGTCTTGGAGCCTCTCTGTTTCCTCCGCGTCGTCGGCACCTTCCATCTGGAGTAACCCCTGTACTTCAACACCCAGTGTGGGTAGTATTAGGAACAACTTGGTCGCGTCAGATGCCTCCACTAACAGAGGCGCAGCGCTAGTGGGTGATACATGGACATCATCTTCCTCCAACGGATGCTCCTCTCGTCGTGGCTTGCTTTCATCCCTATGATGATGGGATTCGGGGACGACCAAAGCAATATTCTCACCTTCAGCTACAGCCCTAAATCCCTCACCCTGCCCCTGGGAGCTTCCCGCCTGCTTCGCCACCGTGTTGCCGCTCTGCAACATGGGCATAAAAATGGCGCAAAAATTATGCAGAACAGAGCGAACAAAGCTATCATCCAGGAATAACTCCTTGAGTTGAACATCCGAAGGAATAGGGCCTAAATGGGGCGATCTTTCATCCACCCCGCCCATTGTGGCAGCATCCTTCGACCATCCTGTGACTGTGCTGCGCGCTGGAATGGAAACGTTGGCGCGACTTCCTCCACAGCTCAGCAGTGTCGGAAGACCAAAATGATTATCAACATCACCCTTTAATGATCGTTCAGACTCCAAAGCCTGAGCACGCACACACTTCGAACTGTTGATATCGCCAACCTCCTCATTTCTGTCATGAAGAAAGTTTCTGTGGGGTAGGATAGGGTCAATGCTTAAGCATTCACCCTCAGAAGAGTCGCGGGCGTGACGCCCGGGCAATAACTCACATCTGCCAAGATTTGAGGAAGCGCTGTCGAGCACATCATGTAGTCTTTTTGAGGTTAACTGATGCAACAAAAGTTTTCTAGAAGCTTTTTCGCAGCCTTCAGGACCAGCACCGGTGCAAGACGACAATATGGCAAAAACGGGCCAAGTGCCATCGCCCACTAACTCTCCATGTTTCGCACCTACTTCATCTCGATCAAAAGAGTCTTCTATTACGTTGTTGGACAGTGATTGGATCGTCGAGCGAGCAGCGGATGGACATGAAGGGGATGACAGGGCAGCGTCCACCGTGATGCGCTCGCGCAGCTTGTTCAGATGGCCTTGAAGGAGCTCCAAGAGACCCTGCAGCATGCCCGCCGTGATAACGCACGACCGTATCACACAGCGGGCTCCCGTATTGCGCTCTTTGCCCATAAAGAGCCTCGTCCCTATGCGGCGGTTTGCGCGCTGCAGGGTTGGCAAGTTGGGCTCGCAGTGGCTGAGATCACCCTCGAAGCGCGGCCAAGGCGAGCCTACAGTCCTTCCCTTCCCTGGCAAGCCGGGCATCGCCGTTGCGCCGCTGCTCGGCGCGGACTGCCTCTGTGCGGAAGAAAAATCAAGAATGGTCTGCCGGGAAGGCGGGTGCGCAGCCCTGGGTGGACGACCGAACTCCCTTTTTGCACGCCCAACCCTCCTGTTTGCAAACCGACTTCCTTTCCGGGACTTCTGGCGGCTTTTCACCACATCGCCGATGGAGTCCTGCGAGGAAACAAATCCAGTCGCCGCCCTGTCGATGTCGTCCACAAAGCTACTAGGGGAAAACGATGACGCCTCCTGACATAATGACAAACTCGACACACTTTCTAGCTGGACTGAAGCACGGCGCCTGGGAAGCTCTATGACTGCTCGTCTACCGGCCTCTGCTGATGCAGACCTCATACTAGGCATCGAGAAGCTCATCGTCAAGTCCTCCAACCCTTCCACAGAGGGCGATGACAAAAGTGGGGTTTGCATCTCGCGCGTGCGGTTCGCGCGAGATGCGTGCGTCGACAACATGGCCGAGTTACACCTTTTTTGAGCAACCTCCATGCTTTCTACGCGAGGGGTAGCCATGATGCTTCCGCTAGCGCCGCTAAAAACGCTAAGCGAGCAATCCACGCCCTGAGAAGTGAACTGCGGAGGCGAGAACGATGTCACGTTGGTCGCATCCAAAAGCATGTCTGCGCCGTCTTCAGGGGAAAGAAAGGAAAAGGCTGCACCGGCCGCATGTTTTGACACATGCAACGACGGTAACGACGATGCGTAATCATGGAAAGGGGAACGATAATCACATTCCTTCGTGCAGAACGCCGTCCAATAGGGTTCGGAGTTTAATCCGGTAGAGGATTGCGTTGCACCAAGGTCCACCATAGCCGCATGCTTCACTGCTCCCTTGGTCGCATATCCCCCCAGGTCCTTCTCCCCGAGAAGGTGGATGCGTCCACTATTCGTATGAGCACCATCCTTCCCTGCAGGAAGATTCCGGAGGCGTCGATGCTCAATCCGCTCCTCCTCTAGCCCATAGTGTTGTCGAATTCGTTTGGTCTGGTCTATCTTCTGGCTACCATAGAGTTTTGCGATGGATACGTCATCCGCCACAGAAGGGTACCCCTGCTGTCGCGCAGGAGCCATTGCCGATCGTCCACGATGGACATCGACGTCGGTGGTCAGGCGAAAGCTATCCTGATGGAAAAAACGCGAATGCCTTAGTATATATTCGGCACCTTGGTAGCTATGATGACGGGCTTCCCTATCGACATCACCAAGGATCTCGATCGAACTCCTGCGCCCCCAATTGCACACCGTTGCGAAGCGGGTGAACAACATAGGCCCTGTGCCGCGGATCAGCTCCGGAGTCTTCGATTGCATTGGCCGCTGCAATTGGGAAAAAACACCCCGTCCCGTTTCCCCAACGAGGCTCCGTGAGCGTGGCTTGCGGCGGGAACGGGTAGCCATGGTGCGCTTCCCCGTACGTCCTGAGTGGCGCCCCTCCGCGGCAGTCTCCACCATCGCGCACTCGCCATCAAAGTCAGTCTGCGCTGTGGAGTAACGGCTTAGCCGGCAAGGCCCCAGACTTGTACCCCCCACGGACCTCCCTTGCTGCTGCTCAATCGCAGCAGGAGACGGCGAAGAACGAACACCTGAGGGAGGGATCCTCAATCGCTGGCATAGATCCCCTAAACGACGGTTCATCACAATAGAAGCACGAATCAAGCGGCTGAGTCTAAAAACTCGCGGATGGGCATCAGGAGAAAGGCTCGTAGAAGCCCTGATGTGAGAATCAGTCTCCCGGAAGCCCATATCATTTATCTTACTATATTTCTTTGTACGAAGAGTATGCATTGGATATCTCGCTTTGTCTAACTTTGCATATATACTGGTATGTATGCTTTTATTTGCTATTACTGTGTATGCACTAATAAAAATACAAAAATTTAAAGTGAAGAAAGAAGCGGAAGTAAAATCGCGCCGTATCGCACTCATGAAAACTAGAGCATGCAACTGATGTCTAAAAAAAGGGTGATACTCAAAAGAAAAACTTATTGAAAAAAGTACAACAAATCATAGACACAGTTATAAGCGTGGTTTATTAAAATATTTAGCTTTTAATGAACCACTAATTGCAAGCAAGAAACATTTTCAGTGTGTCAAAGGATATATTTTGGCGCATTATTTTATTTGATGGACAACAAAATGTGACTTGGGAAGTTAAAAAAAAAAGCAATGCTTAGTGGTGCAAAACAAGATTACATGTCCTCCTAATTAAAATGGCTCAAAAAAAACAAGAATGCAAAAAAAGGCAAAATAGAGAAAGTTATTTATTTCTAACAGATTCAAACATACACACACTATAATCGGAGTAAGAAGGGAACTTGTGTAACTGCGATAAATTTGTCTGTGCACATGGATACCTAACTGATCCCGTGATAATAATAAAGAGAGATCTTAAACTATTCTTTAATTTTGATCCCCATTTAAATTCAATGGAATCGATCCTTGCCGACGATGCCATATCACAGAAATAATCTCCCCCTTTTGTAACCCTTTGCTGCGGAACAACAATTGATTAGCAATACACATTCGAAACACGTACAAAAAATGTCTCTATGCTAATCCCTTCAGCGTAAATAAATGAGTGCATGAAAAGACAGAATAAGATAAATTTTATCCCCTTGAAAATTCATATTTTTTTTTAAACTTCCCAAATCTCCTTAAGTTTATGAAAACAGAAGAAAATTGTCTCATATACATATATATATATACGCATATTAATAAGTGCGTTTATACACATTATATCGATTTGATCCTAGAAACTTTTATCGTGTCCCCTCCACATATTCGGCGTAGTGTTTGCATGAAAAGTGATTTTGAACTAGATCCTCATTTACAGAGTTTGTGTGCATATAAGAAGAACAAGTCTTGATAACAGTAAAAAAACACCCCATTTGATATTTCATAAAGGTGAAGGGAAAAACGTATTTGCTTTTTTTTCAAATCACTTTACTATGCCTTTCATCTAGGTGACATTTACCACCATCCATGCAGCCAGCTTTTATTTTTTATACCTATAACCAAAGTCTGTGCATCGAAGCAAATTTAAATAAAACATCTCTTACCTGCGTGCAAGTAACATTCGCTTTGTATTCGTTCCATGCATTTTGGGATAATATTATAGATTCAGAAATAAAAACCCACCATATTGTTAGTCAATTTTGAGGCTAGATCGGAAGCAAAAGTGGCATGTGAAACTCTGATTAGAGTTGACAAGTTTATATACTAATATAAAGCTAATATATATAAACTATCATTTGAAGCATTAGCTAGCGCGTTGCATCATTTCGACAGAGCTCTCAAACGATAAAGTCTAAATTATCGTGTGGACTCCCCATGTAGCGCTAGTAAATATCTCAGCAACATTGCATTAGGTTGTTTAAAAATGTATAATATAAATCTGCTATTGTTACCAATCGTGAAGTGGAAAAAAAAACCTATCAAAAATTATAAACAAATATGAAAATGCTCTGAAGCATATATTTAGATAAAGACACAAAAAGCGCACCTCAAAGAATTAAAAGTATGATTCTAAATATAGATAGAAGATATTGTAGCCTTTTTGATTTCTACATTCCAGACATGATATTGTTATAAAGCTGATCAAACAGATCACTATTATCACTCGTGCCATCCTGGGGCTCCCCCGAATGGATGGAACGACCCCCCACCTCCGGGACAGGCACCTCGTCGAGCGAGGAGCCAGGCAAGGCGAAGGGACTCCGCAGAGGAGGGTGTCCCGGGCTCCGCACGCCCATGGTGGGACACACACACACCTCCCTCTCTTTTTCCTTTTCCTTCTCTGGGACAAGCATCGCCGGTGAAGGGCCCTGGTCGGTGTGGACGGGATGTCGGGACAGGGGTGGGGGGGCCGAGCCCACTACTTTGGCTCCGGCCTGCCAAAGAGGGTCAGTGGCGGTCGAAGCGGGCCGCGAGTGACGCTCTATGAGAAGCCCGGTCGCGTCTCGGTCATCGCTGAGCGGAGACGGCGGCGGAGCTCCGGGAAGCGGATTTCTCGGCGGCGCAGAGGCCGATGAGGGGAGGAAAGGGGAGCCACGGCTCGGGTGGAGTGGGGACGCTGATAAGGTCGCCGCCGAAGACAGCACTATCTCCAACCTCTGAGAGGAGAGATCTCGTGGCGAGGTCAGCGAGCCCGCCGTCTTCGGATGATCCACAGGATGAGGAAGTGGCCGTGTCGCTGCCGTATGTAACATGGACGCCGGTGATGGGGAGTTCGTGCTTGCAACCTGGGAAGGTCGCCGCACAGTGGGGTATCGCCCTCTGCCGCGGTTCTCTGTGGCGGCGAGAGAAGTACCTGATTCATAGGCGGTCCGCATTGGGGGGTCGCGTTCAGTAGGGTAATCGGGACGCGGCACGAGATTTAGCCGCCGCGCGTGGTGTGCGGCCTCGCGCAGGAAAGGATGTTCTAGAGCCTCCTTCGCTGTCATGCGCTTCGACGGGTCCGGTTCCAACAGCGCCTGCACAAAGGCAATGCCCTGCTCGCTGACCGTCTTCCACCGGGTGCTATTACATCGCGGGACGTGCCGTTGTTGCTCCAATAGCGTCGCCCGCGTCGTGGCGTTGAAAGGAAAGCACCCACTGAGCAGTACGTACGTAACGATGCCCACCGCGTACGTATCCAATTGCTTGGCCATGGCAACAGAAGTCGGCCTATGCGACCACGAGTGTCTCAAGATCCAATCCGTCATTTCGGGTGCCAAGTACTTTTCTGTCCCACACGGCGTCAGGAGCAGGGTTGCACTTCCCTCGAGGGGGAAGTGGTTGCCACTACGCGCAATAGCCGCTGCCCGAATCGATACCTCCTCACATGCTGACAGTGGTACTTCGATGGAAGGCGCCAACGCACTACATCCCGGCGCACCTTGGGCTTTTATTGTGCTCGTGTCAGCTAAGCCTCGACGATCCACGCTCTGAAGGTTACGACTACCGTTTGAAACCAAATTTCCATGACCGTGATCCTCCGCGTCGCCTCTCGGCGGCTTGTCTACATCTCGGCAAGTTGCACCGTCGCGGTGCAGTGGAAAAGTAGAGTACGATGTTGAAGAAACCCCGGAAGGGCTCTCAAACGGTGCGGTAGAGTCTTCGCCTTTGGGGCAGGCTCGTTCCTTGGGATCCTTTCCGTGTGTGCAGGAACCGGAGACGGAACTAAGATGTCCATCGATGGTGGCCGCCTCCCTGGACACATTGGGGGTCATGTCTAAACATTCTTCGTTGAGGCGAACCGACGCCAAGGCCCCCTTATTCGCCTTAAGTGGATTGGAGTCACTTAGGGAGTGCCCAGTAGCTACCGATGGTGGCTTCGGGTCTATGACCTCACCCACACCCACGAGCCCCTCCCCAGCCTCAGCAGACTCGACCCCATCGCTGGAAGACGATGACGAAGACTCAGCCGAAGACGTCTCGCTAGCATCCATCTCTGTGCTGTATGCCTCACCCTCTTCTGTCTCGCCCTCACCTTCCTCTTCCTCCTCGTCAATCCCTTCCGCCTCAAGGAGTGGGCAGAGTAAGTTGGTAGACGGCATTGGGCTCGGCATTCCTTCATGAACTAAACTGCGCGTCGTCTCCGCAGCATCGAGAATGCCACTGAGGGGGTGATTCGCGTGTGTCGACGGCACGCCCGCAAAATGCCTCTTATCGGTGCTGACGTGTGAAGGACGCCTCGTCGTGCGGCGCGCCAATCCAAAGTCGATAAGGGTAAGACGCAGCATCGATACCGCGTCCGCGGTGGCACCACGCACAGGTCGCGCATCATTCATATCCACTGAAGGGGAGCTCCCCCCCGAAATGCCGATGTTCGAGCGGCCTTCCGCTTTTGGCGTGGCAGCATGCTTGGGATGCGGGGTTCGAAAAGTCGAGTCAGACCGGCTCCCCTCTGCCCCTATAACCTCGCAGATGTCCTCGGGGGATTCTGGAATCAGTGAGGCGAGGAGATTTTCTAGCTTGATATCACGATGAATGAGCCCAAAAACGTTGTGGAGGTATTGCAACGTTTCCATCAGCTGGTATATCATGAGTGCGGTGTAGGCTTCGGGTGGCGGGCCAAAGTGCTCAAGGTACTGGCGCAGATTCATGGAGCCTGGGTGGAGCTGCATTGCAATCAAAAGCTCGTCAGGGGTGCGAAGCGCCTCGTAAAAGCGAGAGCACCCACTGTGGTTTAGACGACGTAGAATACTAATCTCTCGCTCAACCTCTACTAGTTTGATGCGGCACTTAATACGTGCGGCTACGGCGCTGACGTCGTTAGTATCCTCACACTTTGGGTCGTGGTAAGACGAAATAGAATGCAATTGCTCGTCATGATTCCGCGCACCGTCGGCGAGCGCGAAGTCATTGCACGCGATCACCTTAACCGCGACACTCATCTCGCTCACCGACGGGGCCGGCAACCCCCGCAAGACTGGTGAGGCAGCGGCATACACCTCCGCCCTTTGATTCCTTGTATGAGAACAGCCCAGTCCTTCTCCACTCAACGTGAGCCTCCAGGCATGCGTCGCGGGGCCGCGTAGTATTGGAACCGCCGCGTAGACCTTCGAGAAGGAGCCGGCCCCGATGCAATCCACCAATGGATTAAAGACGTAAAAATCCTGTAGATTACTCACCCGCTTATAGAGCGACATCTGGCTTGAGCCATTATCAGGAGCCTTACACGGGGATAAGGGAGCATTGTAGGGTGCGTAGCAATGCGATCGTGTGGTTCGCCTCGACCGTGCGCGAAACAGCCCTTTTCCACAAACTAAACGTGGCAAGCTCGGCACCGACGACGCGCGGAGCGAGAGACGATGATGAACACGGGGTTGTTCACGGAAAGAAGACCTAATTGAGGGTCGCAGTGGGGAAGCCAGCCCGTCCCCAGGGTGGTCTGGAACCGCGACCGGGAGAGGGGACGCCGGGTGGCGAAGCTGCTCTCGATAAAAGTGGCATTCATACGAGAACAGCGGCATGCTGCCAAGATCCAGTACCTCGGCGGAATCCGCGAGGAGTCGGTTGCCCTTGACATCGAGCGAGGTCACCTCGGCGACTTGGATGGCCTGAGAGGCCGCCATATCCCGGTTAAAAATCACTAACCGAGGCGGGTGGTGCAGCACCACCGCCTTTTCCCGCTGCCGCGCGCTGCTTGAGGGAAAGCGGGAGTTCACCGAGTCCGCTCCCCCACGGGTGGGCTCGTGATCACGGAGATGCGGCGCCCGAGAAGACGCATCCCCCTGGGAAGCGAGCAGATAGCGACGAAAAGAAGTCGTCCGGCTGGTATCCATGGAAAGATGGTCGCCAGAGAAACTGAAGGAATCCTTCAGCAGCCAATCTCGTCGTAGTGGCGCGGAGGCGGCTCGGCGGCTATAAAGTCGAAGAAGCGTCATCGCCCGGTGAACCTCGCGTTTGTTGAAAGCCTGACAATCGAGGCGGCCGTTATGGCTAAGGTGGTGATTCCCCCCGACGTAGGTGGGTTGCGAAGTGCATGAACAAAGAAAAGGGGCACAAGGGGCCTCCCCCCTTCCAGTCTTGCCGGGGTGGTTTCGCTTGGACTGGAGTGGCGACCCACACGCGGCGGATTCCGTGCGAAACGTAGCGCTGGCTCTCTCCCCCTGCCGCGGCTCCACGATCGGGGCGATGGCTCCATCCCCATTGGGCGCGCACCGCTTGTTATTCGGTGTTCTCTCGCCGTCATGCACCTCAGAGAGCGAGGAAGTGAGGGGGCGATCCCGGTGATCGTGATGCGGGTAATGTGGGGCACCCACAGGAGTCTCTCGCGACCTTCCGTAGCTTTCCTGGGGGGCGTGGCGGCCGTTTCGATCGCTTGTGTGTGTGCGACCACCTGCCTGGGCGTCTCCCGGCGCGCCCTCACTGAGAAGACGGCCCGGATCCGCGGACGGCGAATCCTGCGGCGGGACCTCCTGCCCTCTTCCCCCCCCAGGTCTCTGGGTGTGGCTACGACTAACTCTAGACCCTTCTGACAGAACAGGTGCCGGGAATAAAGAAACCTTTTGATTTGCTAACACACGCCGCGCTCGTCGAAGCGCTGCCCTCACCTGCGAGGACAAGAGACGCTTCCCAAACGGAAAGTAGTTAACATAGCAGTCATTGAAAACGTAATGGTCTAAGGGGAAGGGGTGTTCAGAAATTCGTTGCGTGCGCCACCATCGCAGTCGATCAACAACCTGCGCGGCTAAAGTTACAGAAGTTGGATATAGTACTTCAGTGGTCGCTGCCGGTGGTAAAGAGTGGTCGTTCCTAGAAAGAAGTTTGGGCTGAGATAGTCGTGTGAGAGTAGATATATTTGAGTTTGGGAAATCCATACGCAGGATTTTATTTGCCTAAAACAAATCTGACCAGTTTGTTTGATCGTTCTCTTGAATTTTGTGTCAAAGAAATGTGGCTTCAAAAATTTTGATGAGAGGTAAAAAATGATGTAGAAAAACTAATATAGGGCCCTACAGCGGTATATCAAATGAAATTAAAACAGAGAAGGAATATCAATGAAGTTGATTGCATGTGCCAAAAATAGAGGACCTCAGATAATAGAAGTAAGAGTCTAGCATCCAGCTCACAGTTAAACTTGATGCCATAAGTTCCCCATATGACTAATTTCAACCAGAAATAGCAGACAGTAAGGAACGCAAATTCGAGTCCATTTCTCATTAATCTCAATAACCTTTGTATTTTACGTGCGTGTATACATTTTGATTGTCCTTCATCGAAAACCTCAATATAACGCACGTTCAATAGTAAAAGATGATTAGAAGGTAGAACACATACTTTCCTTCCAGGCCAAAGATTTCCCTCAATTCTGTAAAATTGAAGCGCAGACGAAAAAAAACATAAGCCAAGTGAAAAGATAGCTCGGATCACAAACTATATGAATGTGGAAACAAAAGTCCCCACAAAGAACAACAAATTCAAAGATTTTTAAAAGGGAGTCGAAATCAGCCTTTCATACATCAATCCTGACGTTCTTCAATCTTCCAGACTTTTCCTCCGCACATATACTAAAGCACATCCTGTTGAGAACACCGAAACATCCATAAATTTCGTTCTCACCTCCCCACACAAGGGAAAGAGCGAAAAGTTATGCAGACGCGTATAAAAGCACTAAAGAGACACAGGAATGAAAACGGAGTCGATGCAGGGCCCAAGGAGCTGCTTAGGCAAAGTTCTCTAAACCACATGCGGACCTCAATATAACAATAATAATAGCATTACTAAGATAGTAGTATAGAGTTTTCTAGAATCGGGGAAAAACTGAATGTGAAAAATTTGCTCTACACAAGCAAGTAAGAGCACGTGCGGTAAAAAAAAAATAGAAAGGGAATATCGAAAGATGCATAAATATGCTAATTGCATGCATTGGCATTCATATTCACTCAGTGGACTCCAACTTTCACGCATAGCTTTCCCATCTTGAGTCTTCACACAGAACTGTGATTAACCAACTTTCTTCGTATATAACATCGTAAACGATGGTTCCGTATTAGGAATGGAATCTGAATATATTCTATACACCTTTTCACTCTTTCACTCTCTCTCTGAATCATTGCTTGAATTCTCCTTTCACCTTGACTACAGTTATCAGACAAACAGGGGATGAGCTCAGAGAGCTCCACGCACATTACCCCCTATGCATCGCTTAAGTAATACAAGTTCAGCATACAAACGTAGCTAACTACGATGTCTTTGCGTGACACATAGACCGATAAGGTACTGAGAACTATATTAGTATTATTTTGTTTAAATTATTGTCACCAGATATTTTTTTGCCCTATCTCTTAAGTTGAATAATCACTTGTTTAGTAACAAGGATGATTTGGACTAATCAGTGAAAAAGAGCACATGCACAACCACGACGCATCAACCTCAACACAAAAAATCGCACTCCAGGTTTATCGTCGGTGATTTGACATTTTTTTGTGTGTGTATACAGGAGAATTTGTAAGTTGTAGAAGCGATGCGGGACACTACGATCGATGCTTTTGTGGTGGTTTAGGCCGTTAGTTTTTGTTTCGTTGTGCTGCCGCCCTCGCCTGCATTTCACGCCGACGAACGACGTCGTACAAGCCTTCATCCACCCACTGCGGAATCAACAATTCAATCATGTAGTCGAGCGGCACCGGCGGGACGAGCTGCGGACTGGTGACATTATCAATGGCATTTAAGATTGAATACTCCGACAGATCATCCCGATCCGCAGGCAACGGTAACGCCGCAGCGATAATCGGTGGTGGCGGTCGCCGCCACGCTTCCCTCAAGGCATGGAAATATTGCTTTCCAACCGGGATCTCTGTCAGGGTGAGGGCTAATTCTGATTGCATACCCGCCTCCCTTGGCGGATCCCATAGGGTTCCGCCTCCCCCCCCTCTTTGAGCCTGCCCGACCGACTTGCCATCAAACCGCGTCTCGAACCCGACGTTCCCAGCCGACGAAGGTTTCGCGTAAATAATCCCCGTGCTACGATACCGCGGCATCGGCACGGTATCCATGCCCTCCCGCCAACGCAGGAGGAGTTGTTGATTCACGTCAAGGGTGGCCACTTCGTACCGAGGGGGCTCCCCAACAGCAACGTCGCTCGGCAGATCCACCACCACTGTTGAGGAGGAGGTCATTATGGGAGACTCGTAGGGCGGCGGGGGAAGGACCTCCTCGAGGCGGCGGACTTTTGGGAGGGCGGCGGGTTCGCGTGGAGGGGGGGGGGGGCCGTGGTTGAGCCCCGCCCACGCCACCGCGAGCGCGGCCTCGAGGTCGTAGCCCCAACGCGTCTCAGGGCTCAGCGCGGCGTCGCGGACGAGCGGCACCGCGCAGCCGGCCTGCTCCACCGGCGTGGAGTGCTGTGAACTAGCGCTTCCCGTCGTGGTTCGGAGACGGCGCAGCGCGACGAGGTCACACCGTCAAGCTCGACACACTCGCACACACGCACAGAAAAATCCCTTTCCTGTCGAGAAAACAGAAACCCTCCACACAAAATAAAGGGTACGGGCTGAGGCAGGCGGTGGTGCGCTAATCTCAAGGGTTCAGGACGATGCCAATAGTCAAGAAAGGCACCAACACAGGAATTAGGCGAGGAGGTATTTTTTTTCTTCTGCGCTGATACACCGTACACCGTGATGTGAGGGGTTGCCTTTCGCAAGCACACGCCTTGGAGTGGAAACTATAATCAAGCGAAATACTAAAAAGGGTACTCCGTTTTTCTGGTGGAAGTAATTTTGAATTCTACAAGAAAAAAAAGCATCAATAAAGGAGAGAGCATATACTCGATTGTTATCGGTTCACGAAATAACCATAAATCATCCATCGGAAATCAAAGTGGTTGGGAAACATATCCAGAAACGTTATTGTGATTATGGACTAATAAGATATAATGATAACTTCCTCTCACTCTAACCCTTTTTGCTGATATTAGCAACAAAAATCTAAGTAAATTATGGTGAACAGAAAAGGAAGAAAGACCAATGTGAATAAGCGTATACGTATGCTCTGATCTCACAAAGTGGAATTAAACACACTAACATCCATTGAAGAAGATGAGTCTGCCGTGGGCAGTCGACGAAGCGTTTTCATTGACCACAGCTCCAATGCAATGACATCCCGCAGCATCCGGACATCCTGTTCGAAGCTCACCGCTACGCTCTGCGCCCCACACCACGCCGCAGCGCAAACAAAAACACCGCAGTCATCGCTGTTTGTCTGCTGCGGCATGAGATCAAACCCACCAAGAAACCACACCGCTTCCTCCTGCTCGGCCTCACTTTGCGCACACGCAAGAGCTTCAGGCACGTCATCCACCTCTGCTGTTTGAATATTTTTCTCTGAGAGTTGACGGCGTCGTCGCTTGTACTCGGATTCCGAGGCCCTCAAGGCCTCGAGGCTTCCATAAGGATACAAGGTATCAAGCCGACTTCGCCTTCTTTTGGTTGGAAACATCCCGGGATCCCCAGCCCCGGATCTAGGTGGTGGCGAGATGTAGGGCTGCGCGACCACATATCGGCTCGCGCGCCGCGCGGAGGCATCCCCCCCGCCCACTCCGGGCGGGGGGGGTGCCGGGCAAAGATGCCGACGACACTCCGCTAGGGCGTGCTCCAAGACGCGCAGGATGCGCTGTCCCCGCGCGGCGCCCCGTGGAGCCCACATGCTATCGTAATAATGCCACGTATCGAGGTCCTTCCGAAAGACCACCAAAACCCAGTGCTGATCCGAAAGGTTGACGGGAATAAGCAAGGTGTGCACCGTCGTTGTCGGAGCCGCGCTGGATTCGGCCCCTTCCTTGGACCCCTCCACCGGGCGGCTCGCGTAGGGGAGGAGAAGATGGCTTCGACGCCGTAGCCAGCGTAGGATTGGGCTGTTGGGTGGAAGATGTGGAAGGGAAGGCTCGGTCGCCGCATCCGTAGAGCGCCCCCCCCTTTCCTTTGGCGGCGACGCCGTCCTCCTGAGACCAGACAACTCGGAGTCCACTTTGGCGAAGAAGTGCGTCCCAAGCGATGCCACCCGCTCCACCCCTTCATACTGGTTCACCTCCCAACAGACCAGCGCGAAGTAGTTGTTGATGACCTGATCGTTAAGCCACACCCCGGGCCGCAGCGTCGCCAGCTGGGCGTAGGTCATGGGGCTGAAGCCTACCACCGCCTGCGACTCGTCTCTCGGCGGCTGAATCGCGATCGCTTGGTCATGGCCGCGACCTCCAATCCTGGCGAGCACGCCTTTATCCTCCTCATTCAGCTCCAACGCGGTAAGCGAGACCGGCACGCGGGAGCGAATGTGGTCCAGGACTCCAGAAAACCTCAGTCGGAATCCCTCTGGGTGTGACTGCTGCTCCTCCTCTATCACGGAGAGGCAATCTAGTGTGTTGCGTAGGATCCATTCCGATAGCGCACGCTCCGCCACGCCGCGTATCAGGCTCAGCTCCTTCCCCACCGCGTGCCGCACCATCTCCTCACACACCTCCTCCATGACCTCATCATAAAGACGCCGTATAGCAGCATCCCGGGACGTCCGCGTCGCGGCTTTGATGAGGCTATCACTCAGGGGCTGTTTTTGACCTTCAAAGCTTTCCGGAAGCCGTGTCCATCGCCGCAGTGGATAGGACTCCTGGTGAGCATTCACTTCAGATTTATCAGGACTGCCTGCAGCTGTGGTACCGGCAGAGGAGTCAAGTCGTGGTGATGTTCCCGCATGGGCAGAATTCCCGAGCGGGGGCATGGTCCGAAAAAATGCCTCCTGTAGCTCTTTTGAGGATGTAGAGGATGAAAAAGTCGCCGGGGACGAGGGCACGATGGATTCCGCTGCGACTGCGGGATGCGCAGCCATGCCTGAGCTCAAAGAAAGAGGCTGTTCACTGTTTATGGCTTCATCACCCTTCACACAGTCCTTCTTCAAGTGATAATGAAAGCTGGAAAAGTTGGATCCAACTGGATCCGGGTCTCTCTTGAGGTTTGGCCTACGGATATCTTGATAGCCCTCGTTCATCTCACGGGACGCGTGGACCTGTACAACACCAGGCACGACCTCATTGATAGTGCCCCACCGCGAGTCCACAGAACCACCACCGCCTTCGATGTCGACTCGACTGCTTGGGCAAGGGTGTTGCAGGTGGACTGAAGAATCCCCCAACGCTTGACCAGTTGTCCGTTGGTGTAGGCTGCCGTTCGATGGGGTGGTGGTGGACGATGCGCACGGAAGCGGAAGCTCCCAAGCGGAAGGGATCAACTCCCGTACACGTCTTGAAACCAGTGGGGAGGTCACCTCCACGCTAGGCGCCGCTGCCCCTATAACCACCCCGGCCCTCCACCTCCCTGAAAGACTTCGTAATCTGGGCAGGGTAGATTTAAACTCACCGCTGCGCACTGAGATGCGAGATGTTAAGGAACGACGGCAGGCCTCCAGGCGCCTAGCACCTGTGCTTCTCGCGGCGGAGACCAATGAACGCAGCGGCGCGAGATGCTGTACCCAGGAAAAACTGAGTCGGCTGGCATGCCCCTGTGGATCACCTTCCCCTTCGGCAAAAGAGACCCAGGAAGGATTAGGCCTCCTCGTCCGGACACACGCACTGTTAAAAGGAGGGTTTGTCTGGATCAAATGATTATCCCGATCCCCGCTATTCGGCTTTCTTTTGGAATTAGGGACATTTCTCGTTGAGGAGAGAGCCAGCGAGGACGTCTGAGCCGGGCACCCCTCACGAGCGGAGCTCATGAAGTTGGCAGATGAACGTAAAGAAAGCATGCAGTCGTTATCATTGTCAGGATCTATGGAGCCAATTTGTGCGCTATGCCTGAACAGTCTTGACAGCCACCGTCGCCCTTTAATTCCCCACTGCCGCCCGAACCGACGTATCTTTCCATCCTTTGTGCGAGGGAACTCACCGCGACCAAACCGCTGAGCCTGATCTCCGTGATGGGCATCACAACGTGCCTGATGAGCAGGGGTCACGGTCGCCGGATGGTATTGAGAGCGCGCGGCGATGAACGGCTCCTCATCCGAGGCAGAAAATTCCCCCTCAACCTCTCCCGATGCGTACTTTTCCTGTAATAAAGAGGGGGAAAGAAGAGGGGGCTGGCGTCCGTAAAGGCACCATCGATACCACTCCGCCTGTAGTTCTCGATACCGCTCCACGATGGCGTCCATCACAGTGGCCTCCTCGTCGAGAGCCTTCTGATCCCCCTTTTTGATTCCGTTGTCATACCCTCCTTTCACCTCATCGGTGCACTCTCTCGATGCAGACGAGTGCACCGCAGCGGGCGTAGGGAACGCCGCCGTCATCTGGTAACGTGGGAGTGGCGCATCTGGAGGTATCTGGATAGAAAGGCCAGGACAGTCAGCCGATCGCGCAAGCCCCAAACCTTTCTTAACGAGAGTACACAGGTCGGGTTGGGCTTGATCCCGTTTGCTATAACTGCCTTCTGGCTGCCCTGACAGTTCGCATGTCTTGGCTAAGAGCAATGAAGTCGATTGACCGCTGTGCACAACGCTACTATCACTACTACTGGAGGCTACGCTAATAGAAGACGGAGTATCCATCTGGCCGGAATTTGTTTCCCGTTTAAATAATCTAAAATTTTTTAATCTATATTATTCCTTCTCTTTAAAAACTCATAAAATGAGTATCTTTTTTCGTTGTTATAATAGTATTTCTTTTCGCCTGTTAAACCCAGGATTTCTTAGCCTGAGAACATTCTCGAATAAAAAAGAAAAGAATGTAATAGAAAAAATCAGGAACATTTATAATATGATAAATATATCAATACGCTCATCATGTTTCCCCACTGTATTACCTCCTCAAGTACTCATCATATCATCAATCACAAAATCGCATCTTTTTGTGTAACTTTGAAATTAACCCTTATGCATAACACTTATCATCCTCACCTATTCCTAATGCCGGAAGACTCAGTGTTTGATCAGCAATTGAACCACGATTTTTTCATGAATCCAGGTAAAATATACGTGGTGTAAATAAAATATTGAATATATGAAAAAAGCAAGTCATGTGTACAAGGAAATGTATTTACCAGATTTTGTAAATATTTTTTACAAAGAAAAAGGTTAGCTGTGGTGCACACAAGCAGATGGTATTACTATCATGTACACGACTCTCTCCTGCCCTACAAAAAGCCAGCAGGTGGTTCCTTATTCACTGCGGGAATAGCCCCACCCCAGCTCTACTGACATTGCTTTCTTCATTTCTGTTTGAAGAAATCGTCTTCGAGATAGACGGGAGAAGGTAAGTGTGCTATGCAATAATACATTACCTAATATGAAGCATTTATCATGTATTCCTCTATAATATATCAAACACAGCTATATCATTCATGATGAAGTCTTCATTTTTCTTTTTAGTAGACAATATTCTGATATGTCTATATATAATAATTGCTCTACTTTTCCCACTTTGTTACACAAATTAATTGCATTTGAAAACGTAATTTAAGCCCAATATATTAATACAAAAGTAGCGTAGAAATTCATGCAAAAAAAAATGTTGAATAATGCTTCGAAAAAAAGTAAAAAAAGACTGAAAATAAATACCAATATTAAGAGCAAGGAAAGGAGAGAAATGATTTAAGTAAATTAAAAAAATCTCTCGCGTAATCTGACAGGAACCGATTCACCTTCCCTGAATGGCTTCTTTCACAAAACATACAAACGAAAACCATTCCCATAGCTACTGCTCCATGATCACTCCTTGTGCAAGACCTAGCCCACAACCCCTGGGAGCGGCGCGTATAGATCCGACGGCAGCACTGGAAATCCGGCTTCCTCGGCGATACGCTCAAAATTCATATCGCCGTTCCACGGCTCCTCCGGAAGCTGCACACCGAGGTCCTCTTTCAGATTCCCATCCATATTCCTCTGGCTAATCCAGCCTCCCAGCAAGAAGTACTTTCTCCGTAGAAGTTCCACTGCTGTCGGCCGCTTTTGAGGATCGGGGTGCAAGCAGCTGCGAAGCATTTTCTTGCACTCGTCTGACAGATGAGTCGGCAGATTCACTGCTATAGCTTCAGAGAGCGACGCCTCTGGGTCGGAAGTGCCATCCGCCGAAGCAGTAATGTTTTGATGGTACCAATTGTTGAGGTTCGCCGCGAACTCGTCGTCGTAGCCTTTTTTATTCCCACCTTTCCGATGCTTCGGGCGGCCCTTCGGCATGCACTCGGACATGATCCACCCTCCCGGGGTGACGAGCTCGATAAAGGTCATAGCAAAGGCGTAGACATCGCTGGCGGGGCTGAACTGTCGGTGGGCGATCACCTCAGGCGCCGCATGAGCGATGCTCACGAAGCGCTGTGGTGGGACCTCCTCGAGCTCCACCGCGGCACCCTTCCGGAGGGCCATGCAGCGGCGAATCGCGGCGGCCTGAGAGAGCCGGATCAACGACCGGTCCCGCCTTGGGCAGGCCCACCCCGCCTCAGGCGGGGTCACAGCCCCGACGCCGGCCTTGGGCTTCGTGTCCCCCGAGAGGGTGAAGTAACGGGCCGAGGAGGACGAGACACGCGGTAGGGTGGTGCTGGGACAGCTCGCGCTCGAACTGTGCCGTGGGCGGAAAACCGAGCTGTCACTGGAGGGCGCGAGCAGCAGCGGGGGCGGCGCGGGGCTGGTCGCGACTAGCAGGCTGACCACCCCCGGGCTGGTCTTATGAGACAGGTTCACGGCCCCCCCGACCCCCGAGGGTGGGACGTCCGCGCCGCGAACCAGGCCTGCTGCGGCGACGCCATTTGTGCTCGAACTACTACGCTCGACCTTCGACAGGAGTGAGTCCCATGTCCCATTGCAGACATCCACGGCCTTCGGCGGGTCTGGGAACCTGTTGCACCACAAAGGCACGGGAGGGGGAGTCGCGATTCCTCGAAACCGTAGGTCTGTTCGATCTGAGAGAAAGCCAGGCTATCCCAACACCGTATGGTTTGGCCTCGGGATGGCGGGAAACGAGGAACGCGACCGTTAAGCCTCATGCCAGCATTGCCATCTGACTCATTCAACGCAGGTGCGAGGCCTGAAGTGGATAAAACAGACTTCTTGGTGGGCATCCCATTTTTATGCGAACCATTGGCTTTGATGGAACCGGTGATTCCCGAATTGCAACCTTTACTACCAATGTTCGAGTTAATTCTATTGCGCTTGATGAAAGTCGAGCTCTTCGAAAAATCAAAACCAACCGACTTGCTAGCGTTTTGATGCGCAATAGTCATGGAGGAGGTTCTTGGAACGAGTCTAACACCGCTTCTCGAGTTAACTAACTTGTTTCCAGTGACCCCAGACGACTTGTTACCCTTCGAGTTGTTGCTACGGACAGGGTCGCAGAGGTTACTACCCTGGCCTTCATGAAAGGAACCGGCAGGCGTGGTTGTATCGAAACTCGCTGAAGGATCTCTTTGCAGTTCTTGAAGTCTCGAGGGATTGGGATTCAAGAGCTTGAGGACACGTCCAAATTTTATTGGCGGGACACGAGTGAGGTCACCAACAGGGACTTCTGAAATGTAAGCAGGAAAGTAAGTCTTGTATACAGAGCAAATCGGTTCGTTCAAGAAGATGCCACGTGCGCTAAGGTCGTACTGTAACTCACCGTTTTCATGCAAGAAAAAAAGTCCGAGTAGAACATCCCGCATATATACGCGTGCCGTTAGCTCGTGCAAATAACTCCGCCCAAATAAAGAAGGCATTTCACGAGTTTGAAAAGTATGGAGAGTGCCATGCCTGGCAAGCTCTAAATATATCCGCAGCCCAGCAACCTCACGGGATGTAGGACACGCTGTATCAGTGAGAGATGACCCCTGCCGTTTTGACCCCATTCCCTCCTGAGAAACGTTGTCATTAAACAGCAAACCGATGTCGCCCTTTTTCTTCATTCGCTTAGCTCCCGTGGGGCATACCCCTGATCTGTTGTGAGAAAGAAGATCGCCGTTAGGAAGGAACAAGGGCTCCACCTCATTCACACCAATGTACTCCATACGCAGATACCGCAGCAAGAGCGGACTGTGCACAGAAAGGGAGGACCAGCGGAGTACATGCCTCTGAATATGCGCGAACACCTCCTCACGAGGGTGCTCCGCTGTGAACCTCAGCTCCTTTGCAACAACCAAAAAACGGCGCACCCGCCGCGTGTGATGTTGATTCAACCCCCTCCGACCCTGTTTGAGGCTACGGATACTTTTCGAAGAAGGGGGTGTCTCGAATGGAACCTCAGAGTTCATGAAAGAACCCGTGGATGGAGGCGGTAACACGCTTGCTTGGTCCAAGTTCGTTGTCACACGCTCCGTGAGGGGTTCAGAAGTGCATATGGATCCCTCATCAATGTTGCCGTTCCGGATAAACTTCTCAGTATCAAGAAGAGCGACACTTACAGGATCCTCGAACCAGGGCTGCGGTGCGTTTAAATTCCTGAAGGTGGTGTTGCGTGGCTCGCCGCCTAGAAGAACCATAGCGGACACACGCGTATAGCCGAATTCCCCCTCGCTGATCGGCCGAAACATGCTGAGTGGGAAGCAGTAGAAGAAGGCTTTTGACTCCACTGAATGCTGCTGTCGCACGGAGAGGTGGCTACGGTCAGAATTCTCCACTTTCCTTGTGCCGATAGGTCCTCTGAAACCCCTAGAAACGCATTTTTCTTTTCATAAAGGTGTCGGACGTGACGATGTGATCACTTTGGAATCAATAATCACGTCATTCAGCCGTTGTATGGGGGAATCGGCGGTATCATCTTCGAGTATGCCATACTTCAAACCCTCGCTGCGTATGGCGTGGATATTGTTGAAATAAGCCTTGGAAAGTTCTTCATCTGGCTCGAATGGTGCATAGAGGTCCTTTTGTGGCTTCTCCTTTTTCGGTACACATCTAGATAATTTTTTCACACCACGTCGATCCCTAGGCTTCGACTTAACGCAACCCATATATCTAGATATATACGTACGTTATTGATTTTTTTTGATTCGGTACGTCTTCCTTAAGGGACAGAAGAAAAACTGTCTGCTTCGACCACAATTATGTTCGTGTATAGTCTCAGATCTCTATTATTCACTTTCCTGAGGATCACTCACGTGATAACGGCAAAAAAAACGAGTGTTACCGATCCCACAGTGTGGTGCACCCTTTTCGGGTCTAGCGTCTTTATTAGGTAGTATTGGTTTGATGTAAGGCAACTAGTAGGCGTTAAACCCTTTCTCCCTTGATGTAGAATAACTAAAAATTATCTGACAAAATGAGAAAATTAAATTAAAAGGGCATATCAGAGTATTGAAAGACAGATTAACTACCGAAGTGAATCCAAACGCGGTGAAATCTATACTTCATAAAGCGTGAGCAGCAAAAAGAATCTGTTGGACACGCTTACTTTTTCCATCTTGAAGTGATGACAATAACATTATTTTTATCCATCTATATAGATAGAAAAATATAGCAGAAACCTATAATCAAAGAGATAGCAGCACAAACAATTATACAAATAAGTTTGAGGTCAATAAAGGGGCTATAATAGTTTTATAAAAATGGACCAAACATGTATGCACATCCTGTACCCCTAGCATTCCCATCTAGCTCCTTTACCAGGAATCTTCACCTTCGAATTGAGATCTCGTGCCATCGCATTTCAGCACTTTGAAAAGTTCTCTGCACCACACGCTCCCATTCGTATAGTATCCGAGCCTCTTCCTGCAACGAAGCCAACTCAGGGTCGCACGTGTTCAAGCCATTCTCGCCGTCACGAATGCACCTCTGGCCCCTGTTACCATCCGATCCGATTGTGCGGTTGGCACGCCGCAGGGTCTGTATCCACGCAAAGCAACACACATCAAATACCTCTTTAAACCTCCTTAGTTCTTCCTCTTCCCCCTCCTCCTCTGGCATCGTTGAGGTCTCCACGACCGCCATGTGTTTGAATTCGAGCAAAAGGGAATCCCATGAAGGTGGGGTTAAATACGGTGACTCCAGCAAGGCACTCATCCCCACGCGACAGGAAGAGACATCCGATGACCCCGAAGCCTCCTGAAGGTAGAAGTTGGGAGTCAAAAAGCAATTGTTTGCATCTCCCTCAGGAACCGTCTTTCCGCTTCTCAAGAGCAGTGAAAGTCCGGTACCTTGCCCATCCAGCGGCAAGGATACAGATACAATTTTCAGGCAATGCTGAAGATGGGCCTGCAGCTCGCCGATGTAGCGGAGAAGCGAGACCAAGACGCGCTGGTACGGCGGCGGTTCAGGCGATGGCTCTCGGGATGAGGCGGACCCCACCGCCCCGCGCCCCGTGCGTGAACCCTCACACACCAAGGAGGCGACCGCCAGGAGCTGGCTCAGCCAGTCCTCCACGCCGGCGGCCCCATCCTGACTGCGAAGGATTCCGTCCGCGTCAACGACCCCGTAGGGCGCGCCGGACAGCCGCCGCAGGAGCCGCCTAAATTCGTGGAGGGAAGCGGAGTCGCCGTCACCGGCTGCCGGCCGCGTGAGGAATGACTGCAACGCCGCGGCCGGGCCCCCCTCATCCCCGCCAAGCACGACCGGCAAAAGGTACCGGAAGAGAAGGGGATGCTGCTGCGAAACGTCCACCTCAAGCGCCGTGACCGTGTCCGGTACTACACGGAGGAGAAGCTGCAGAAGGTCCGCGAGAGGGCGCCGCCCCGCCGGAAGGTAAAGCCCCCACTGCAGTTCCACCTGCAGATTCTGCGAAAGGGGAGATCCCTCGGTAATTCGCTGGTGTGGCAGGAGCACCGCGAACATGTTCTCAGCATCGCCCTCGCATTGAGATGCACCTGTGGTGGGGTGACAGGCTATCTCGAGCGGCGTGTCGTATGCTTCGGATTTGACCTCTCTGTCGCCCTCGTCTTCCATTGTTGCGGCGCTCCTCAGAAGAGCGGAGTCGGCTGCGGGCGCCAGAGGAGAGCACGCACTCGAAAGTCCGCGTCCAAGCACACCGCGCAATGCGTAGCGCCCCTTCAGCCGTGCATTAGCCCTCTCTACGCGTCGTTTTAGCTCACGCAGGCGCTGAATCGTGGGGATGAAGAAATCTGTGTATGCACATTTATTATACCACGGCTCTATGTACAACTCCCACAGTCCTCCCAGTTGATACTCCACACGTGCAAGGGCCGCCTGGCGTCGGTAGAAAGCAGCGCGGAGTTTCGAGTTTGCCGTCGCGACAGCCATCAACGTTCGCGGAGATCGCTGAATGGAGCCCTCCACCATATCCTGATCGCAAGGTTCGTCGCTACACTGTGTTTCACTAGGTTTAAGCAACGAAGCGATATCTACATCGGCAGATTCAGCGATGAGGATCTCAGGATGCGTGTCAGAAGCAGACCCACCGACGGGATTGCTGCGCAGACTGAGCTGAAGTCGTAGGAGGTCCTGCTTGTACTCATGAAAAGCCTTCTGAACCGATTTTTCGGTCGCATAAAAGCAATCTTCAAGCACATTTAGAGAGTGGAGGGCGTCCCTGTCGCCCTTGGTGGTAGGTATGCAAGGAGAAAAGGTAGTGGTAGGCTCTGAGGAGGCACACAAAATCTCTTTATTCATGTGTCATAAATACAATAACCAAGGGGGCTGCCTGTCTTTGGTCGAATGATATGAATATCCATGTATAATATCGAAAGCATTTTACGCGGAAGAAGGAGAGGAATGAAACCGGAAGTATTAATAGCGAAAAGAACAGAACCAATAACACAAAAAAAGGCCAACTCAAGGAAAAAATCTTTTGTCAAGATCTTCAAGTACCAGGAAGGCCTAAGATGCAATAAAGTGTGTTTCATTAATTTTTCATTCGATATTTGATGAATTCGTTATTCACGGTTGAAATCATTTCTCATCCCGCAACGGAATTACGAGAAACAACACAAAAAACCCGCACTACCAGCGTTAACGTAACCGTTGATATAATGTTTAGAAGAGTAAGCCCGAGTTGCATCGAAGACCACCAGATTGGACTCCAGAAAAGAGCGATCCTCCACTAGGTTATAATGTGATTTTTTTATTTTCATGCGAAAAGCACCAGCCAAATAAAAAGCCCTGATATGATATCACTCGTTACGTTGCACAGGGGCTGCTCTACTAACAGATGGCTGGTTTACCATCTCGAAATGAGAAATCAGCCTATCGCCAAACTCCATAAGATGGTACACGGAACTCTCAGCGCCGCTGGGCTTTCCAGCCGCGCTGGGTGCATCGTTCTCATTTGCTTTTACCGCCGCTGTAGGGTAGTCCGTCTCCTCAGATGTAGTGGTCGTCAAATCAGCTCCACAGCGCTCCTTTCCCCTCATCATTGCAGGAGCATAGACCTGATGCAAGCAACGCTGCATTGCCTTGACGGTATCTATCGTATTGAGCTCTGCGATGGTATGTGCCCCACCTGGGGCCTGGAGCACGCCCGACAGGACTGCGTAGATCTGCCCCACCAACACCACCTGCTGCATAAAAAACAGCCGCAGCTGTGCCTCCCTCCCTTCGCTGAGGCATGCTTTGAGGTTCGGTGGACGCCGTTCCACATCAGATTTGTTCCCAGCGCCGAAGGATTCTTCACCAGTCTCGGTAGCGGGCTGGAACAGCTCCGCCAGATCCCCTTTGCGGGTGCCATCGCCGCGAGCATACAACCATGCCACGTCATTCATCCCATCGAGCGCGCCGCGCAGCATAACCTGCAGCGCGGCCACCGTGTTCGCCGATCGCGCGAACTCATCGTCGGTGCCCGCCAAGTGGTTGAGCACCGAGACCGACCTGATAAGTAGATGGAAATCATCCGAATCCTGCGGTAGTAGGTAGGAGGGGTCGGAAGGAGACGAGCACGTGCCACCCTCCTGGGAAGCGGGTCGTAAATCGGCGTGCAGCCGGACAGCCGTTGCGAGAGCCATGCGACTGAGGTCGCCAGACACGAGCACTTCCATCACACCCAACACTGCGGGTGTAGGGAGAACCGCCGAGATGCCATCGCTGCCGTCTTCCCCAACAGCGGCCCCAGACGCGGTGGTGGCGGAAACCCTCAACCTGTCTTCAGGGACGTCTGTCCGGGGTGCCGTTAGTCGACCCATGCACTCCATGACGGATTGGCTCAGGCCTCTTTGTAGGCTCAACAACTCCGCGTCACCCACGGCCTGGAGCCCCTCCAGCTCATTAACTAAAAACCGTGCTGCCTCCACCACGCGTGAGAGGCGAGAGGTGATGCGCCGCTCACCGGGCACACTCCCCGATGGAACCCCCATCAGCCCCTCATCCTGTTCTCCAGGGTTCACGTGGTCCCCTGATTCCCCGACCCCGTTCGCGCTAGAGGCGGCGTAAAGGGACTCGCACACCATCGGAACGTTCTCCGTGTGGCTGCATATATAGCAAAGCGCCATCCACGCCTTGTGCAAAAGAGGTAGCAGCATGACTATGACAGTTTGCTGGTGAGGAGAGAGATCGGGAAAATTTACGACATTACACCGCTGAGAGAATAGAGCATCGGAATTGCCGTCGCTCCGCACGATTTGGCATAACAAAGCGGAAGATAGGACCAGCGTGCGTACGATCGCATCCACAGTACCATAGTTTACCTTTTCATAATTGTAAGAAATTCCCTGCGCGTTCTCCGGTGCCTCTGCAGCAAGGACTCCTGTCAGAGCTCCCAAAGTGGCGTCTAACGCGATACACACCTCGCGCCCAGAACCAGCTAAACTCGCCCCGCCATTCTCCTCTGCAGGGTGCTTTTTTTGGATAAGGTTAAGCAGATCGGCGCCGCGGTCGCCATCGCCGGCCTCCAGGATCGTGAAAATAAAGTCTGAGAGCACGGACTCCCCCCCGGCCACCGCGGCACGCGCCACTCCCGTGCGCGAGAGACAAACCAAATTCAAGATAGCCATCGCCACCCAACAGCGCCCTCTCCCACTCAACCGCGCCGCCATCGCGGCAGTGCCCAAGGCATGCTCTACAGACCCCTCTTCCACTAAAGACTCCGCAAGGCAGTTCTCGTCATGTGGGGGAGACGAAAGTTGGCAAATATTCGCAAGGCAGCGACAGCTGAACTCACGTACCGCCACACTGTGCGGATATGCCCGCATTAGCTCCAACACCATCCGACCACCCACCCCACTCGAGGGGCTCGCATCCCGGTACCACGAGGCAATCAATTTAGAATCCTCATCACTACGATCTAACTGAATGACATGACTCATGGCAGCTTCCACAAAGGTCTCGCCTCCGGAAAGAGGTGCGTAATGTTCCCCAAGAGCCTTTAGCACACGTGGTAGAGGAGCTGTGGGCTGTTGTAGGGGCTTTCCCAGTTCATTGAAAAAGAGATTCTTTGCCTCGACGTATGGTATAAGCGAACAGATACACCTCCGAAACATTAGATTCCCTAATTTGGAAGTCCTAAGCCTTAAATAAGTGAAGAAAATAATACACAGACTTATAACAAATTTTTCCCCGTATTAGGGAAAAGTGTACATTCAGAAGTCTAAATTTCCCTTCAGGGGAGGGTGCGTTACCCTTACTTTTCTGCACGTCGCATCGAAGTAGCGCCGATTACGATGATTAATTCTAATTATACAATTGTGCATGGGGTGCAATACCTGCACACATGTTGAATTTGATTGGGTTTCTACTTACCCTTAGATTTCCCCTTAGTCGCAGAAGCCTTATTAAACGCACCGCTTTTATTGCCTCCAGTTGCACGAAATTTGCGCTTGGTCACCTTTCCATCCTTATCACGCACCATGTTGTATGAAAGCTTCTTGTGCATGAAGGCGTTGCCCTTCTTACTTTTCATTATCTTCATTTTCCGATACTGATTGCGAGCCTTACTTTTAACCTGCTTGGGTATGAAAACCTTGTTCTTTGCCTTCGCGGTGGCCCTCAACTGGTTGTTACTCCTCCCCATTGATATTAATAAAAGTAAAAAAAAAGTGAAATAGTGGTGGCAGCAACGCCGTGGGCAACCCTAGTTTCGTATTAATGAGGTAATCGAACTCCTGCTTCGTATTAGCTTCCCTGCACTGTGTAGTGACTTAGTTCGGCTTTCCCGAACACTATAAATATTTTGAAGCTTTTAAATCTTCCCCTTCGTTTGATTTTGAATTATTATGCTGCATAAAGAAAAACAAGTTAGCTTAAAGTATCATGTTGGTGCTTATTGGGCTCATGGCTAGATGATTCAGTAAAATTTAATATATATATATATTCACTTAATTGTTTAAGCTATTTGATCGAAAAAAAATGATTGCTATTATTACCCGGCCCGCAACAGACTGCATTTCATCAAAAACGAGTTCACCTCACCTTTGAGATTATTGGCGTTGGTAGTTTAAACACGGGAAGTAACCCGCACGTCGTAGAGGCACTCCATGTTAGAACATTTCATCATTTCATTTCATTTAAATGATCACGAACAACGTGGTCAAACTCCCTACTTGATGGTCTTAGCCTCCTTTTCCCCCTACACACAAATTTACTTTTCATGTGTAGAAACGTTATTCTACCCTGATTTGCTTTGAATTGGCGAAACCTCGTTTTTGGGTCCTGCGACCCTGTCGCGCCTCGCCAATCTGATAGCTTTCTTCTTAGGACCTACCACGCTTCCTCCTTTCGGGGGAAGAGAAGCTGGCGAGGCACTTTCGCCCGCGAATGAAGATGTCGAGAAATCAGAGGAGAGTGGCAACATACCATCCTCTGGGGACTGAGCAGATTCCCCTGGTGGTGGGGTTTTCATACCCAACATCACTAAATCTTCATCATCGCTGCCGCTGTTCATAGAGGACACAGGAGAACGGGCGCGCTTACGGTTAGCGGTACGGAAAGGAACTTGAGAAAACTTTCCCTCATTCTTAGTTCCAACACTGCTACACTCCCCCTTCCCATACTTTTGGCCAACACGCCTCTCCAGCTGAGAGGCGTCTCGACCGGTAGGGGTTCTCAAGCCCCTCGACTCATCGTCTCCGGAGTCCTCCTCATCTTCGCTGGTGCGCACCACGAACCCGGATAGGCTCGTATCATCACTATCTGAGTCACTACCGAAATATGCATCCAACTCCGCCCGCTCACTCGAGCTGGTCGAGCTGCAGAGCTCCGTGCTGCTCGGCGAGCTGCCG